TGGACCTGTTTCTCATGAAAGAGATGGACAAGTGAACTAAATGTCAGCGGGGAAACATTAGGAAAAAAGTGATCACTCTCTTATAACTGTGGATTATTAATGGAGAAATGCAAGGAATAATCTAAAGTAGAACTGATCAATTGGAAATGAGCTAACTTCAATGGGATGAGAGAGGATCTAGCCAGGATAAAATAGAACCAAGCATTTACAGGAGAATCTGTAACAGAAATGGATGATCTTTAAGGAAGTCATGTTATAGTTATGGACTCCGTACATTCCAACAAATATGAAGGTGATTGAAATAAAATCAGTGCACCTTGGATGATGAGGGAGGTAGAGAATACAATGAAATAAACAAAAATGTTGTGTTAAGAATGTCAGGTGAATTCTTCAAAGGGGGGACCTCAGCTTGATACAATGAGTTGAGAAAGGAAGTGAAGTGGAAAATATGACTGGCAAGTAGAGAATGAGAATAAAATACCTGTCAACATAATAGGAGAGCAAAAATCTTCCACAGGAATCTAAACAGTAAATGGGGATAGAAGAGTTTATGGTAATGTATATACATGTATATTCAAAAATGTAACACTTATGAAGAAATTTGTATTGGTGTTTACCAGGAAAGAAAATGCTGACAAAGTATCGGTATAAGCACAGCGAGCAGAGGTATTAACTTGTTGAAAATTGCTGGAAAGGATGGTGTCCGGCTATGCTTAGAGTGTAAAAGTCACGTGATCCAAATGGCATCTATCCCAGGTTGCTAAAGGAAGTGGGAGTGGTGATAATGGAAGAGCTTACTATAATCTTTCAACCTTCCCTTGCTAAATTGGAGATGCCAGAGATTGGAGAGTAGCAAATGTGAGAACCTTATTCAACAAATAATATAAGGACCAACCTTGTGGGCAGCATGGATTTATAACAGGGAGATGGTGCTCTAACAATCTCATTACATTTTTTGATGAAGGGAAAGCAAAGGACATCTGTATGTATTTTATGACCATGTTTGACAGAAGTACCACATAAAAGGTAACAACATTGAAGATCACGGGCTTATGGAATAGTGTCAGTTTGGATAAACAACTGTTTTAAGCATTGAAAAGAGAGAGCCATGGCAACTGGCTGTTTTGGATTGGAGGATGTTGGATAGAGATTTTTCCCAAATTTAAGTGCTAGGACCATTGTATTTTTGGATTTGTATGTATACAACTTGAATACCAGTACAGAGACTAAAATTTCAGAATATGCCAAGATACGGCAAGTAAAGAGGATGGTATCAAGTAACTTGAAAAACAATGCAATCGGCAAGCAGAATGGATAGAAAAGTGGCAGATGGAATTTAATATGTGAGCTGATGCCCTTTAGCAGAAGGAACGAGGACTAAAGTATGTTCAGGGAAAGAAAAGATTTGGGGAGTGTGTGTATATATCTTTAAAAGTAGCAGGACAAAGTGAGAAAGAAATTAGGACAGTATATGGATCCGTGGCCTCCATAAATAAGAAACATTGGGTACAAAGCAGAGAAGATATGCTGAACATTTATAAAGCTCTGGTGAGGTCACAACTGGTGTATTGAGACCAGTTCTGATCCCCACACTTTTGGGAAAAATGAAAAGTTCTTTAAAAAGTTGCAGAATGTTTCCAAGGGTGGGCGATTTGACCGACAAGGCTTGGCTTTCAGAATCTGGGAGATTGAGGGGAGATTTGATCAAGTTGAAAGAAAAGCTCTTCCTATAATGTACAAGGACAAGTGGCCACAGATTTAAGGTATTGGACAAGAGATGCAGTGAGTGCATTAATTGAGCAAATGAGAATAACATGCTTACAAGTGTGGTGAAAATGAGGTGATGAATGATTTCAAAAGGAAATTGGATGGGCGCTTGGGTGAAATAAATTTGCAATGGGCAATGGGAATGGAACAGGGGGTTGACAGGTTTCCCCCACAGAGAAGTGGACTCAATGATCTGAATGATCACAGTGACTCTGCCTCTGATTTGAACGATTCATATCTACCATTTTGCGTAGGCAAGATGTAATGAGTGGGGTGACACAGGGTTTGGTTCTGGAGCACAACTATTTATAATTTGTATTGAAGGAACAAGAATGTATCATTGCTAAATTTGTTGATGACGCAAAGGGCATGCAAGAGAATAAGTTGTGATGAGGCCATAAGGAGTCTTGAAAGGGAAACAGGTTAAGTGAGTGGATAAGTATTTGGCACATAGAGTATAAATATGAGAAATAGGAACCTGGCCACTTTAACAGAACGAATTGCAAAGAAGCATATTATTTAAATGGATAGAGATTGCAGAACTCCGTGATTAAAAGAATCTAGATGTCTTGACACAAGAACCACAAAATACTGGTAAGAATGTGCAGCAAGTGATTTGGAAGCTAAATTGGAATGTTGCCATTTATTGCGAGAAAAAATGGAATTTAAAAGTAGGGATCTAAGGTTTTTGAGTAGATTTGTAGCTTGGGTTGTGGATGCTGTGGTTGGCTGGCTCGCCGAGCTAGTTCGTTAGTTCGCAGATGTTTCATTACTCTGCTGGGTAACATCATCATTGCAGCCTCCGATGAAGCGCTGTTGCATTTTCCTGCCTGGTATTAAACTCTGGGGTCCATTGGATTTGATTACCTCATTTCCGGTTTGCCTTCGCAGTGGAGTATATATAGGGTCTAGTTCTATGTGTTTGTTGATAGCCGCCTTAGTGGAGAACCAGGCCTCTAGGAATTCCTGTGCTTGTCTCTGCTTGGCCTGTCCTAGGATCCTGGTGTTGTCCCAATCGAACTGGTGGTTCTCCATATCTGTGTGAATGGCGATGAGTGAATATAGGTCTTGTCTTTTTGTTGCTAGTTGGTGTTCATGTACTCTTGTGGCCAGTGTTCTTCCTGTCTGTCCAGTGTAATGTTTGTCACAGTCCTTGCATGGAATTTTGAATATTACATTGGTTCTGCCCATAATGGGTAAGGGGTCTTTGGTTCGAGTTAGCAGTTGGCATAGGGTTGATGTGGGTTTGTATGCTACTCTGATGCCCAGTGGTCGTAGGAGTCTTGTGGTCAGTATGTTCTTGATGTAAGGTAGCGTGATGAATGTATTAGGGCATGCAGCATCTTCCTGGTGTCATTCGTGTGATAGGCATCTTCTGATCCAGTCATTCGGACATCCATAGTCCTTAAATACTTGGTGGAGGGTACTCTTCTTCTTTTTGGCGTAGTTCCGGGTTGGCACAGTGTGTTGTCATTCGTTTAAATAGTATTTTCATGCAACTTTGTTTGTGGGTGTTAGGGTGGTTGCCGTTGAAATTCAGTACTTGGTAAGTGTGTGTGGCTTTTCTGTGTACCTTGGTCAGGAATTCCCCGTTGGCCCTGCGTTCAACCATGACATCCCAAGTAGGGATGTTTTGCAACAGTTATGCAGGCTATTGACAAGAACTACATTTGGACCACTATGTCCAAATTGGGCCTCTTCATTTCAGAAAGCATATAATTCAAAGCAGTGCAGAGAAGATTCACTCAACTATTTGCTGGGTTGGAGGGGTTATTTTCTGAGGAAAGGTTAGACCAGTTGATGCTATCTCTGTTGGAGTTTAAAAGAAGAGAGGTGGTCTCATTGACAAATATACTGAGTCGATGTTTCACCTTGAGGGATAGGGTTCGCAGTTTGGTGTCTCGCATTTAAGATGGAGATGATTACAATATTTTCTCTTTGGAACTCTCTTTCCCAGACAGTGGGAGAAATGGAGTCATTGAATATTTCGAAGGCTGGGTTAGATTCTTGTTTGACAAAGGAGTGAAAAGGAACAGGGGGTAGACAAGAAAGTAGAAACCACAAACAGATCAGCCACGATCTTATCAAAATGGCAGAGCATGGTTAAGGGGCTGAATGGACTACCCCTCCAAATTTCTATATTCATATTTATAGCTTACCCTCATCTCACATACTTTAATTACAAAGTTAGAATTATAGAAAATAGGAACAGCAACACCTTGAGCATACAGTGCCATTCAATACTATTTGGTTGATCATCCAAAATAATACCCTGTTCCCACTTTCTCCGCATATCCTTTGATCATTTTAGCCCCAAGAACTACATCTAACGCCTTCTTGAAAACCTTCAATCTTTTGGCCTCAGCCACTTTCTATGACAGAGAACCCCACTGTTAGCCTCACACCTGACCTTTCACAGCTTGAACACACCACTAGCTATTCAGCCATGACAGCCATATCATCCAAACACATTGCCACATCCTCAATGACACACTTCCCTCTCTCTTGCAGGACAAGTTGAAGCACAAATAAAGGAAGCACGAGCTAATCAGCGAGGATCAACCATGTCAATGTACACTTCCATAGAATCCCCTACAGTATGGAAGAAGGCCATTTGGCCCATCGAGTCCACATTGACCCTTCAAAAAGCATCCCACTCAGACCCACACCCTACTCCTGTAACCCTGAATTTTCCATGGCTAACCAACCTGTCCTGCACATCCCTGGACACTGTGGTCAATTTAGCATGGCCAATCCACCTAGCCTGCACATCTTTGGACTGTGGGAGGAAACCGGAGCACCCGGAGGAAACCCACACAGACATGGGGAGAATGTGCAAACGCCACACAGACAGTTGGACCCTGATTCCTGGCGCTGTGAGGCAGCAGTGCTCACCACTGAGTCACTGTCCTGCTCAATTTTCTTTTGCAGTGCAAGGCTGACTTTATTCCTTACATGGGTCATTTCATTCTCCTGGCAATGCACGTGCAGTAACTGTAGTGGGCAGGCTTTTGCTCATCCTGTGTGAAGATGTTCAGGCTGCTACTCTGAAAGTAGCTATTGCCAAGCTGTGGCTAGTGACAGAGCTGGAACCAAAGCTACTGCCATTCTCACATCCACTTTCCCCTCATCCCAATCTCTTCTGATTCAAAAGATCCAAATCATGCAAGTGTTTGCCTCTCACTGTAATCTTCCCTCCTTTCACTGAAATCTTTGTGCTCTTCTGCTTTCAGATAAGCAAGAACTGCAACATGACCAGGCAACAGAGGAAAGGCAGGAGAGGAAAGAGCAGGAATACACAGATGATGAAGAAACACCATCATGCGGTCTCACATTCATAGCCACAAGCTCAGACAGTGATGCCAAGCGTAATTTAGAGGATAGTTTTCGAGGTGGGATCTGCATGTGGTGAGACACCAAGCATGAGTGGCCTGTATTCAAGGTTGGAAGCAAGAGTTGTGCATGTGCCAGTTCTCCAGAAGGTGTGATTTTAATTTTTGTTTTTATTCATTAAAGGGATGAGGGCATTACTGGCTAGAGCAGCATTTGTTGTCCATCCCTAATTGCCCAGATGGCAGTTAAGTGTCAACCACATTGCCATGGATCTGGAGTCAAATGTAGGCCAAAGCAGGTAAGGATGGCACAAAAGGACATTAGTGAGCCAGATTAGTTTTCCCACCAATTGACAATGGTTTCATGGTCATTATAGACTCATTACTCCTGATTTTTTTTATTGAATTCAAATTCCACCATCTGCCATGGCAGGATTTGAACCCAGGTCCCCAGAACATTACCTGGGTCTCTGGATTAATAGTCCAGCAATAATGCTACTCGGCCATCACCTCCCCTTTGCACCCAGGTTCAGCTACAAATGATCAATTTGATGGGATAAGCTTCAGAAGAATGCTGATGGATACACACAGTAAGCTACATGGTACGTTGCAGGACTGTCAGAAAGCCTTTCATTAATGTCATGGAGGAATCTGGCATCAACTTTGAACTAATCTTTATGCAGAGATTGGAGCCCATCCGTTCTAGAATAGAAGGGATGGCCAACATCAACACACATGGGCACTCAACTGAAATGCAGCCAATGACAGCTAGTCTTTTGGCTTCCTTTGCAACCCAAACAGAAGCCCATTCCATATTTGGACGCTCCAGTGGAAAGTCAGAGAGAGATAATACCAGTTCAGCCTTGCTGTCATGCAAGCCCAGACTGTTGCCAGAGATGATACCAGTGTTAAAGGGCACAGTGGTGTCACAACATACAGCAACCTGTTTTCCAATGCAGTATTAGGATTACTGACACTCTATCCTGGATGAGGAGTGACAGTAGCCCCAAGCCAATGTGGTACCATTCACAGCCTGGTGAATGACCTTCCGCCAGCCCTGCTGCAACCACAGGGGGAGAACCGTGTCACAGCATTAAGACATGTAAAAACAGACAAACGTTTGCTTCTGAATGTTTATTATGGGCCAAAATGTACAGCTCTCCCCCCCAACCCCCGACAGATTTGTAGGCATGGGGACGGTTGGGGGATGGGGAATGATGGAGGAGGGAGGTGAAAATTCGCTGGGTGGCCATCGCACAATTCTCCTCTTCTTTCATGACATGCGTAAAATTTTATGCAGGATATTTTGAAGCTGCCGGGAAGAGTTTGGGTGTAGGGCGAGAGAGATTGGCAAGCTAAACTGCTCCAAACTTGAACGTGAAGTGGCGGGGGGAACCTTTCTTCCTTTCTGTATCAGGCGCCCCTATCTCCAAGGTTTCCACTCATTGAGATCTCCCTCCTTCTGGCTCCTCATTCGAACCCTACATCCCTCTGTTCACCATTCCCTGTTGTGAAACACTCCACCCTCCTGGATCCTGAATTCTGAAGGTAGAATCTGTAGACTGCTTGTAGTCCAGACTTGGGCACTGCTGCCCCTGGTACTATTGGGACTACAGAGCTGCTGACCAGTCAGATTTGTCCTCCAAGCAGAAAATGGCTGTGGGGCTGCTGTGATTGGGACATTTCGGGTGGCGGGACATGAAATTCCACTCTCCAAAAAACCTTGCCCTTTTTTGCGTTGTTAGAGAATGACAAATGGCAATGTGGGACGATTGGTGCCTGGTTGATTAGCACTCCATTTCTTTACATTGCAATTGGATGTGTTGTTCACAGGCAACCCAACCAGAATAGGACGTCTGAGTTGTCTCCTACCTTTGTCCTTCGTCTCGTGTTGTTCCCCAGCTGCTTGCTATAAACCTACTGGCTGTGTCCTTCTGATATTGAAGCATGTGCCATGTACAACAACCCACCTTAATATTGAATTGAGTAAGGGACGTCTCTTTCAGATCAGTGCAGGCAGAGGATGCACTGTTTGAGTATAGAAATAGTCTGTTCTATTATATTTGTATATTGCCCATAATGTCTGTGATTTTTGCATTGGAGCCATTGGTCGGCAAGTCAGTGGATAGCCCTTGCTGCCCAGTCACCATCCAATGATTTGCAGTGGTGGCAATAGCAGATGGCATTGCAAGCTGCTGTCGAAGGAACACATTATGACTGCTGGCACAACACTGCATGGATTGTTGTGTATAGCCACCCACCAGCTGAGGAAAGTGGAAGCCTTACCCTTCTCCTCCAAAATGGTATGGAGGTCTCACGAAGCGATATGTAGGCAGTCACTGGCAGTGTGCAACATGGGCAAATCCTGCAATCTGTATGACACCATGTATTCACTCCACCTGCTGTTCTTTGGCACGGGAGGGTGAAATGTGTTCACCTGTCACCTCCTTCAGAGCTACACTGCAGTGCAAATCTGAAATCAAATGTTTGAAGCCTTTCTATCAGGATTTGAACACATGGCCTCCTGACTCAGAAGGGAATGTGCTAGCACTGAGCCAAGGCTAATATTTAAGAAGCTGAAGATGTAACCTTTGACTTTCACATGCCCTTGATACCAGGGGTTAGCCAGTTGAGCTGCTAATTTACCCCACAGCCACTTGTCTCAGTTTACAGTTTACAGTTGGTGGATTTGTTCATGGATGAAACCATTCCAATAAAATATGTATGAATGCTTACAGAATTGTCTTACTCAGCACGATTGGCTCTGGCAGATGTGATACGTGGGCAGAAACTTCCTGGACACATGTATCAAATGAGAATCCTTTGAAGGGTTTTAGCTGATGCCTTGCTGATGTCTTTATTACACAGTTTGCACAGTGAATAGAATCTGTGATTCTACTTAATAATAAATCAAGGCAATGATTTCAAAGAAGACTTCTTCTAAAAGTATCACACCATGCCATCAAGTGGATAGCCAGAGTTGGATGCTTCAAACATTGCCCCTGTCATTCCCAGTTTTGGAAAAGACCATGCTAATGCTTCAAAGTGATCACTGTGGTTCCTGAACAATTTTAAGCTATAAGCATTTGAATGCTTAATAGCATGTTCTGCTGAATTCTGAAAGTTGCAAATGTTATGATAAACATTATTTGTACAGAAGATTTCTCCTAATTGAATCTAACCATTGGTGCTTCAACTAATATTTGAAATTTAGAAAAAATATCTATATTCAAAGAAATTCCAGTGAAGGAATAACTACCAGTGGTTAATTTGCATTCAGGAAATGGCACTAATTTTTAAATTGCCAAAGCAGTCACTCATTGACTAAATGAACTTATCTAAAATAGATATAGGCAACAGTTTATTTGAGAAATTTCATTATACTTTAGACTAAAAAGGGAAGGACATTACATTAAAAATACTTTCCCTTTGAGGTGGTTTTCTAATTGTACGTACAACACTGTCTCGATTGTAGAACAAGATCAACATACTCCACTTCCATGATTAATTTTGCGCTCAGGAAGGTTAAGCATAAGTAATCAAGTTGCCATAGTCCCAGATGACAATAGGGCTGACCTCTCATTAGAGAGATGACTGGCAGATGTTTAACCTGAGGGTCACCACACTGCAGGTGAGGAGCGAGGTTGAGAAAGACATGGTAATCATGGTAATCCTTCATGGTAATCTCAACCAGTGTGAGAATTGAACCCACGCTGTTGGTGTTGTTCTGCGTCACAAACCAGCCATCCAGCTCACCAACCCCATCAGGAAGATTAAGTACATTAATAGTGAAAAGATAGAACTTAATCCATTTCAGAGCCCCCAGGTGTCAGCATGAAACAATTCTGTGTAACCTGACTTGATGGAAGCTAAAGGCTCCTCTGCCTTTCTGCCCTCATATGATGTGTGACTTTCTTTCCATTTTCAACAACAGCCTGTGATCTCTCTGACTTTAACCTTAACAGTCACAAATGAATTATATCTGAGGTTACAGATGTGAAAAGGCAGTTTTGAAATGTCTCAGAGGATTCCCTATGGATTTGACATGTGCAGCCTTTACATTGATTCCAGCTATGGTTAGTATCAAATTTCCAATTGCCTTCAGTGAACAAAATCAAATTACGCCATTTAGTAGCACCATCTATATTTCACTCTCTCAAGACTGTTATGTGACACATGCAGCATCATTAACTCCTGTAAAGGTAGTGAAATACAGCTTTTCATTTAAGAAGCAGAGAGAATGAGAGAACTGCGTGTTTTGGGGAGCTGTGGATTAGGCATATTGGTTGAATATATTAGACTTTGACAATAATGCAATTCAATTTGGACTTCCTTATGCTCTAGCAAGGAATATACCAGTTTGTCCAAAAAAAATCAACCTGTAATCTGACTGAACATCGATACTGTAATTTTAAATTTACAGTTTGTTTTGAGGTCAGTATTTGGTCATTATTTCTGGGCAAATTACCACATATACTAGAAAGATCATTCCTACAGCTCCTCCAATGGCCCAGTCAGTCAAAGATGTCTGTGTATTCAACCTAGTGTTCATTGAGAGGTAGGGAGGGTGGAGGTGAGGCTACAAACAACCAATGAAGCAGACACAGTGGTCCCACCAAGTGTAAAAGTAGAACCTCATTGACGTATTTAAAACTGTTTCCCATGTAGCTGGCTGTCAAATAGGCAGCCTGTAGAAGGGAATACCAGTGGCACGAGGTTCCCATTTGGGGTGGTCCCTAGCAAATGGGTGTGTATGGTGTCTGGGAGAGGGAGAGGTCATTTTCAGGACGGGAAGATGTCAATGGCAAGGGGAGATGTGTTCCTGTTCCTTTTCGCCCATTAGAAAAGTTGGAAAATACACTAAATATGTGGAGCTGGCAGCTCCCATGTCCATTTCACTGTCAAGGTTTCCTAGCCCCAGGGAACCCAGGCAAGAACAATTTTAAATTGTGTTCCTAATATGTCCTGCACTAAGGTGCTCAAAGGTTTTGGCAATTAAAACAGACATGGATGCTCTCAAAGCAGCTCGAAAGACATTTACCATCCCCGGTGAATTATCAGAATCCCCACGTTGTGAAGTTGAAGAGTTGAAGAGAGATGCAGAGGTGAGGTTGAGGTATTTGAGAGAGCACACAACCCTCCAAACATCT